GTGTGTGTGTGTGTGTGTGTGTGTGTGTGTGTGTTTGTGCTTGTGTTTGTGTGTGTATTTGCACGTGTGTATGGAATGCACTGTTTATGCTGTTGTCTTTTCATCTTTTTTATTTAATGTATTAAGGTACTTCTAAAAAGTTTGGGCTGTCAAAGTCAAATATTCAAATGATGAGTACATTTTTAAATTTATGCAACCCCTAGCTAAATAGTGATGTATATGTAAGTCAATTAACGAAAAGCGTCTTTTATCTTATAAATGTCTTTGGAAAAGGTAAACCTTAGAAGCCCTCAATTTGGTATAACGCACTTGACATGTACACATATCCAGGGTATCCGCTCACCGTGAGGCCTCAAAATGGGTCCACGTGACGTCATATTATGCGGAAGAAGCTTCTAACTTGGTTTAACCCTATCCGTACGTCGTGTTTTACTATCGTATCCATACAACATGGGGAACTCCGTGCCACCACTTTCAAAGAGGGAATTTACTCGTTAATCCGAACCGTACGCTTTGCATAGCAGTCTGTCAAAATGATTTTTTGAGAAATACTGAACGTTTCAAAGAGATCTTCGTACTAGAACTAGAAGTATTTTTTAAAATGCGAGAAATACAACCGCAGGGGTACAGAATGACCCCAGGGCGTACGGATAGGGTTAAGAAGGGGAGGGGTCAAACTGTACATTTGCCGTGACGCATTGTGCTATACATGTATTTCCACAGGATGATGAGGCCGACGACGGCAATAGAGACACGTTGAACAACGTGAGAGCTCCGAGTGACATTGACAACACCAACAGTCCGCCCCGAGGCAACAGCGTCAACACTTCCTTCGACCTGAGCTCCGGGGAGTCAGTTGTCGCAGACGACGCCCAACTCATCGTGAGTCCCCAGCCGACACTTCCAAGGCCACCACACGTCGCAAACCAAGAAAGACCATCGTCGTCAACTGCTGGAATCCGTGCGCACGCCAACAAGATCTACGAAACGCTGATACCTTTTGGAAACCGAGAGCCGAGAGCAGTTGTTAATGGACATGGCAATAATCAAGGCGGTAGAGCATTTGTGGTTAGCGATAATCTCAGCGGAGACTCACAGTCTATCCAATCAGGAGTGAGTTCTTCTCAAGGGGGAGGGCCTTATAATCTGGTGGGAAGGGCCAGCCCGCTGAGTGACGGCAACGTCACAGCTTTGAGGTTTTCTTCTCTAGAAGACGACACTAACCCTTACGAGCCTATGCAGTTTACCAAATCTGGTGTTGAGATGGCCAGAGCGGGGGCTGAAATTGGTGGCCGAGGACCGAGCCCGGCGTTCAGTGTAAACCCTCTGTACCAGGGACCAACCACCAGAACAAAGCTGTGAGGAGCAGAGAGAGAGAGAGAGAGAGAATGTTGTTGTTATAAAGTTATCATGATTGTCAATTCACACTGATAACAATACTGATGGGGATATAGCCGATGTACGATATTAATTATGTACTTGATTTGGAGAGGAAGAGAAAGAGAGAGAGAGCGAGAGAGG